AAAGACAGAGGTATGTGGAGTCCAGCAGAAGCCTGGCAGTCTTGGAGATGTCTGTTTCTGTGATGTCCTTCAGGCCCATGTTGACAGGCACAGCCTTGCAGTTCAGTAAATTACATACAACTCTTTCTGTGGACCTCTAAGTACCTGAGTACTATTTAAACATTACAGAAAATCCAATAACATGTTTTAAATGAATGACCTTGGTTTCTGCATAATTAATTTTTTGATCAAGAAGAACCATAACAAAAATAGAAATGCTTTTGTTAAAAAAAAAATCTATATTCCTATAGAATTAAAAAAATATTTCATAGTTCAGAAGTGGGAGAATCAGGACTATTCACACAATTAAGTTTGATTTATTTTCTCATAACATTTATTTAAAAGACAGTACATTTCTTTTTCCTGCTGTCTGAATCCCTTTGACTCCAACAATATGAGAATGAAGGAGCAGAAATATGTAGAGGTTTATAGGCTGAGGAAATTAACCTGCTTTCAAAATTTGACCAGATTTGTTTCCAACTACTACATAATTTTAGCAACACAGGAAGCACTTATGATCTGGCCTTGACACTAACACATATCTGTAACAAGTAAGGCTCATGACAGTCAGGCACTCCTCAAAGCAAAAGAAGAGATCTAAGACCAATAAAAGTAATTTTGCTTGTAACTGCAGGTCTGAGGCACAAAATAAAGCAAAAACATTATAGAAAACTTGTTCCAACTTCAAAATGTCAGTCTCACTTACATGTACTTATTTGAATTAGAATGTAGGCTGTTGACAACGATTATACCAAAATGCATCTAATACAAAACTGCTGAGGTACCTGTTTAAAGGTGAGAAACATTCACACTAACTGAAGATGCAATAAAATATCAAAATAATTTTCTTTAAAAAGAAATAAAATATATTTAACAGGGTAATTTTCAAAAACTATATTTAAAGTTTATAAAGGTGGAAGAAACCTTGAAAAGCTTTTACTATGTTATGCTAAGAATCTTAACCTTGTTTTATGCTATGGATCTTAACTATGTTCACATAAAACATTAAAAAAGAAATTATCTTCTACATTTTTGATGCCCACTAACCTTGTATTAAGGCCAGAAGGCATTTCTGCACTCTGTACCACTGTTTTGCACAAGGCATGATGCCACTCAACTTGCAATACACTGTGCCCAGGGCAAGGCACTGCTTTCAGACTTGATGATTACCTTATAAATCTATACTGCTCCAATTCCAGCTGTATTCTCCAAACTTTCAAAAGATAACTATAACTACATTGTATTTGTGGCAAATGCAAGGTCAAATCATTCTATGTTTCCATGAAGGGAAACATAGAGGTCTCAAGGTTTTAACACATCCCACATTAAACTTGTAACTGTGGCTTTCAGTGCATAAGATGTGGGGAGCGGGTTGGAAAACTGACTGGAGAGTCAATAAAAACTATTTTCCTTTTTCTTTTTAAATCAATTTCATTATTAGTAAAATCAGAAATAACTTATTTTAAAAGCTTATGAAGTGTGTTGGAAACATAGTAACATAAATGAATATTCAATAATAGCATTATAAAATCATATAATGTATATAATACCATAGAAGTATGGAGCAGCAAGAAACATGGCTACCTTCTGGATGGGTATAAATGACAGCATGAAAAGCATAGAGAGAGTTATTGCTGGAAAATGTGCTATAGACCTTTTTAATTGAAGTTTTCAAAAATATTTAAAAGATTTTATTCCACCATAAAGGGAATGAAAATTTGAATTCCTTGTTACCTTGCTTTTTTGCTAGCATTTATATCCTTTAAAAATATTTGTAGAAAAAAATAACAGTGGTAGCTCCCACTGTACATTAAGGGTGCATTCCTGAGAAGGGAGACAGTTACCAATTTGTCAGATAAAGCAATTTTTCCTCATCAGGATAAGCAGTAGAGTTACATGTAATAACTTACAAAAGGCATTCCTTTAAATATACACAGGCAAAGTATGAAGGATGAAGCAAGCAGGATGGAAAGGAAGCAGAAAATGATCAGGATTGTCACTTAAGCACTACTTCTAACTAATACCTGACAATCACCTTATTTTTACATCTTTCATCGTGACTGATTTGATTCACCTGAGGACAAAAATAAAGGTAGTGAAAATGCAACTGCTCAGAAAACAGGCAGAAGACAACTGTCACAGGAGATATTTATCAGGCTTCAGTTGCCTAGAAGTACCAGCTGAGATCTTGTGAAAATGTTATCCAACCTTAAATACCAACATCTACTTCAGCTGATGATCCTGCTCTGTCTTTTACTGCCTCATATATATATACAATATATATATATGATATATACTGTCCCTGTGTATATAAATTGTGTGCATGCATCTGCCTGCTGTAGCATTAATTCTTACAGGAAAAACTGCTTTTCTGTTAAACAAAGGTACTTCATTACTTACACTACTAAAGGGTAGAAAACAGAGCAATGACTGGCAAAGCAAATCTGAAACTATAAAGAAAGCAGCAACACCTATCAGAGTATTCCTTTCTGAGAAATGTGCACATTAGAGAGGCTGACAAGTAAAATGAAGTTTTGAAGCAAGAATCAATTTAATACAGGGTAAAAAATGGTGAAAGAAACCTGCTTGGATGAAGTGGTTTAAAGTGCCTAGTTGAGCAAAGAAAGCTCATGAGTTTTGACAGAAAACAGTGCAGAACAATAAGCAATATCCAGCACAAGCAAGTGCTCTTTCCTCAGTTTCTAATATGCCACATATTTGCTTTGTTTTGCAGCAATGAAACATTGCACACTGCTGGGCTCCAGAATCTTCAAGAACAGTAGCAGCAATTACACTGGTAACTCTTGGATTGGTATCATCTCTCATCTCACCTTCCACATTTCTGATTAATCATAAGACTGACTAGATACGACAAACAAGAGGAAACATAAAATTGTTATTTCACTGTCCCAGAATTTTAGCCTTTGTATTTTTTTCTTTTTAACCTTCCCAATGTTTTGAAGACCAAAGACACAAAATTGAACACAAGCAAAACTGAAATCAATCAACAACTATAGTTTCTTTGAAAATGTAGGAACTGAGTTTTGGGTCACAAATACAATGGCTTCCAAATTTTTCCTCTTCTGGACACCATTTTTCTTTCATCTCCACTCTTCCCAAAGGTTTTGAGACTACAAATACACTTCAGATTAGTGTTTCTATACCATGACATACATAGGAAACTGTAGAAATCCCTTGAAGGTAAGTTTCAGGCAAAAAAAGCTAATTTCAAAGCAATTAAATGAGTCCATAGCAGGGAAAAAAAAAAAGATTTTACTCACATCCTCCCTTTTCTATTTCTCATTGATTTTTATAAATCAATCTGCTTTAGCCTCTTCTCCACAACAAAATTGACTTATACTAGTAGTGGCATGCTAGATGAAATAAAACAGCATGATGAACCAGATAGTCTTTCTACACTCAATTTACTAAGTTTCTCTAAGTTTATACACTGTATATATTAATAAGTTCCCATTACAAGAGTAATAAATTTCAGCTTTGTAAACTATTTCCCATACACATTTTTTTAATAAATCCTGAATATTTTTTGTTTCCTTTGTTCCCTTACTTTTTTTTGCTGGATATAAGCAGAGTACTAATAATGAGGTGAGATTGTAGGAATTATATTGCTAACTAGTAGAGCAAGTAAAACAGCACTTTTCCATTCTACATTCATTCTGTTCATCCAGCTTTGTCCTTACATTCAGAGCAGGCTTTTCTACTGTCACTTTCAGTTTCAGCAGTGATTACACATTATCTCTCTCTTTATTAAAACCATGATCTACTTGATTATGTGCCCTAGCTGAAAAGTACTGTGAAAACAGGAAGCAATTTAAAATGGTAATTTGGTGTATCTAAATAACTTCAATTACTAAAAGTTCCTACCAAACTTTTTTAATTTTGTAAACTCAGATTTTAGGTAGATGGTGTCGCAAAGTCACTCTGATAAAGTACCAGTGATTTTACTGTCACTCATTGATATTGGTTTGCTATTTATTGGTTACCACATTATTGTGACTGTATGTACCAATATGTATGCATATATATCTTCTAATTGCTATTCACAGCTTCACACTGGATAACCACTGCAGTGGTCCTCCTAATCATTCATTACATACTTACATGTATTCTTGTCATGTGAAGGGTTTTTCTCTCCACTCACCATAAAAATGTTAAATACCTCAAAGTTAAGACTGTTAAAATATCACTCATCTAGATCAACATTTAATATACTTATAAATGTTCATATTGATAATACAACCAGTTCTTTTTTCTGTTCATATTGATAATACAACCAGGCTTCTTTCTTGAACCAGGCAGAAGGGGAAAGGGTAAGCACATGGAACTGTATGCAATAACAGGTATACAAGTATCTTAAAATTTTAGAAAAATGATATTTCACTGACACAAATAGCATGAAATAAATATGGCAAAAAGTGTCTGCTAAAACAAAATAATCTCCATTTATACAATCCTATTTAAGAGGCTAAACCTACAAATTTTATTCATTTCTATGAATGTTCAAATGTTTAGCCTAGTGATGTCTTATACTTTTCAAGTACAAATGAGGAACAGTAAGATTTGCCAATAACAGGAACCTACAGTTTTTGTTTGTTGCTGTTTTTTTTTTTTGTTTGGTTAGGTTTGGTTGGGTTTTTTTTTTAAAAAAGAAGGTAAGTGTTATTTTAATATATTAGCAACAATGTTGTTACAGCATTCTGGATTTATTTGGAACTTATCATTTGCAGACCAAACTTTAAACTTCTCGAAGACAGTTTTTATTGAAGAATTCTGAACTTATATCAGCGTACATAATCACTGTAATTACAGGTGTAGTAATAAAGCTTCAGCTGATTAACCAATACTGTTACAAGGAGTTTGAAGAGCAGTGTACCTATGAAGAGGTACAAATGCACACACACAGAGAACAGGAGAACAGTATTTGGAAGGATTAAGCATACCTGTGTTCGTAGAATTTCGCCTTTTGACAGTTGCATATCACCAGTCAACTCTTTCACAGTAATGCCAAGTGGTTCCAGACGCTTGCTGAAATAATTTGTCATTTCGGCTGCCAAAGCCTTCATAGGAGCAACATACACAATCTGCACCAAAACAACACTCACTTGATAAATGAGCAAACCCCACAATGTCGTCTGTTTCATGGCAACCACTACAAATCACAATTTATTGTGAAATATGATGCCAGGCACTTACAGTGAAAAATCTTAATAGTGAAATATGAGAAGTAGTTATCTTTGTTGGATAAGTGTGCAGCTGTTTAAAGGACAATGGATTTTGTTTATACAGCCTCATCACTTTGAAAATTGGTTCTGCATGAAAGCTAAATGCATTTTCATAGCTTTTTATTCACATAATAAGATTTTTAGAACACAAATAAGAATAGCTTTAATAATAATGAAGTAAATCAAAACCAGTCTTATCTTTAACTTGGAAAAGTCTAATATCCTTGAGAACTTCCTGATTTCATATTCCATGTACAACATATAATAGATTTTACCTTACAAGTTAAAAAGCTGTTATTTGGTTCATTAAACTCCTACCTTAAACTCATCCTTTTTGATAACACCATGCTGGACATGCTGGCGAATTTCATGAAGGATTGTCAGCATGGCAATGTTGGTCTTCCCAGCTCCAGTGGGGGCACAGATCAGCATGTTCTCGTTTGTGTTGTAGGCAGTCTCGAAAACTATAGACTGGATTCGGTTTAGCCTTTTCATGCCTTTAAAAGCAAGTTGTCCAATCTGTTGAAATAAAAACCACACATATCTTTTCATAGATGTTTGTACATGTGTGTGTGTATCTGTGCATATATTAAAAGAACACATGGAAACATACCTTCAGATACCTGCTGTAATATATTTATTATCCCAAGTTTGTTTTTATTCTGAGGGTACCACTTCTACTCAACCCTCAAATAAGGAATCAATAAAGAAAACAAATTATAGCAGGATAACATCTGCTAAAATTAATCAAAATCTTTAGCCTCATACTATTTCACCACCTAATTTTTTTTACTATAGAGTGGAACCAAAACTAATATGCAGTAAAATATGGAACTATTAGTAACTAAACATCAGCAAAACAGCATTAACAGGAAAAGAACAATATACACCTCAAAATCTAAAAAAACTACTGAAAAACTAGATGAAAAACTACTAGAAGAGGAGGCAGTAAAACAAAGTTTTACTCAATAAAGTTCAGTTTTGCAAACACAGACACACAAATTCAGTAAAAGCTTTCTCTTGCACCTCAAAAGATCTCCATCTTGCAATTGTCCATGTTCAGACCTTTCTCCAACAATATTCATAACAAGCTGCAGTACCAAAAGGAACATAAAATTTGTATGTGTAGTCCAAAACAGACTTAGAGAATGTTTTGAAAAACTTGCATTTGAAGATTATAAAACCTTTGCAAATGAGGAGCAGCCCTTAAAATATGAAATTAATTTTCCAATAAACTTACTTTTTCTTAGTTACTTTTCACTTAGTTTAAAATAGACTGCAGAGTACATAATTATTTTTTTCTACAGATTTAATTGCCTGCATTGCTTCTATTACAAAGAATGAAAAGTATCTTACTGATATATTTGAAGATTCTAATTTTTACTTTACTTGTAGGAACAAAAGTACAGTAAAGAACAGACATCAAAGAATCTTCTGAAGTTCTTTTCCATTATTCTAGGTGCTTGAATTAATGTACAGTAGTTTTCTAAGGTAAAAGCCTCTCCAATACCAAATATTCTTCCCAATTCATTCCAATACTAACCAATCATTTGAGCAGGGCTTCCCCAAGTAATGCAAGCTTAGGAATGAGGGCTTCAACAGCTATTTAAATCAAATACTTCACTTAATTTTGCAACAAACAAAATTAGGTCTATCATTATGGTGCAGCTTCCTTGTAGTAGCCTCATGTGAGGGCCTATGATTCAAATTACAAATTTAAATTAATAGACCATTTTCACAAAAAATGAAAATGCTCTACTCTTAAATCTATAGGAATGATGTAATTAATGACTAATCAACTGTAGTTTTATTTTAGATGGCTTTGAACATGAATAAACAAGATTCACTGATATAGAAGTCAATGAAAATGCTGTGTAATCAACACATTCTTTTTGAAAAACGTCCTTTTCAATTTAACAGTGCCTTTGTCTTAGAGCTTTTGGCTTGAAAACTTCCTATGCCTCACTGAAAGAGCAAGTACCATTCAAATAATGAAGTTTATTTGTATTTGTTGGATTTAAAAAATCTCCAAAATACCCAAACATCTATATTAAACCATTGTCTTTGGTGAAGAAAAATAAAGAATCTAAGGCAGCTAATTTGAGAACTTTTCATCAAGTTTCTTCAGATTTTTAGTGGCTGAATTTCAAGATCACAACAATTTTCACTGTCACTGTTTTTGCACAGTTTGTTCTGCTTGCAACACTACAGGAAGAAAGCTTCTTTCTTTTGCACCATGTTTCGTATACATAATGTATACTTTGCATGCCATCTTCAAAATTCATTTCATCTTCATGAATGAGAATCATAAAACATTAAAGGTTTCCGGGAGACCTGTTGAATATCTCAGTGCTGTCAGGGTTCAATCAGCTATTTGTATGGCCTCCTTAGTCATTTTAGGTTTCTAACTTGCCTGTTACTTCATTTTGAGATTTCTTGACAGGTATTTTGTAATTTGTTAGGTTTTTCCTGTCCCCTCCCATTCCATTGAGTTGCTTTTAGAAGCTATTGTAAACACTGCATAAAGTTCACACTGATGAAATCATTTAGAGTGTTTATAACAAAGGATCTACGGAGAGAAACTCACAAATACAACTGGTAATTACAGAATTGAACTAATAAAATACTACATTACACAATATTGCATTATTTAAAGAAGCAGTTTTTAAACAAAGGCAGAAACATTGCTGTCTAAATGAAGCCCAGCCTAAGTATCTTCAGAAATGGATGACAGGAATTTTTCACACTCACCCAGCTGAATTTATGTGGCTTTACACATACATATCAACTTACAGCAGTGTGATTGTTAATACCCTTAAATATATCAAGTTTTCTTAAACTACTGCCCATAAAAATATGCTGTTCCAGTTTCTCTTAAACTTTAAGTGTGCAGCATAAAACATCTTTTTCCTTTCCTCTACATTTGGCAGAAATTACATATACTATAGCCCTAGGATATGCAATTGTAAGCAAAAATAAACACATATTTAGAAAAATAAAAATAATTTCCTGCCTCTCTTCCTTTTGGAAAATTTTAACACCATGGATTAAGACTGACTTGGTAAGTAGCAATAAAAAACCAGATGTTCCAGGAAAAAATAGAGGAAGCTGCATAGCAAGTTAGAAAAATTAACTTCAGCTTGTTTTCTAGAAAGATGCTAAGCCTATTGAAACAGGATATTAAGAGCAGAATAAAGATTAACCAAAAAAAAAACCAAAACCAAAACCAAACAAAAACAATACACACACACACAAAATAACAAACAACCAACAACAAAACAACAACCCAACAAAAAAAAAAGGTGGTTAAGAACTAGAAGTACTTTTTTAAAAAAATGGTATTTTGAACCAGAACCTAGTTTTTCATTTAACACACCAATTAATTTTCAAGCCAACACTCACAAATCAATATAAAACATTTAGAATCACAAAACAGTCAATGAATGATCTTTGAAAGTTAACTCTGCAGGATTATACTAAGGATTAAAAAAGCTACAAGAGAAACTACCTCCAGAGGAAAAAAATATCCTAAGACATCTTCAAACTAAGTCTCCATTAACTTAAAAAATATTATCTTTCCTCTAAATTCCATTTTATTCCATGCAGTAAGTACAAATGCATCATTTGAAACCAGTAGTTTTTCCCTTATAAAATAGTAAGGTAGCATACAGAAATGCAACAGTATGCATGGAAGTCCACAGTTTGACAAAGGTACTGGAAGATTTGTTTTTTTAAATTGTCATTTGCACATACTACATATTTTTAAAATGGAAAACAAGTTTTTCCCCTCTGGCACATAAACATCAGCCATGGTTTCTACAGACCAACTCCTTTTCAGATAAACCAGTGAAACCTCTTCTTGCTTAAAGGACTGGTAGCCACTGGATGGCAAAAAGTGATTTTTACTGAAAATGAATGAGATGCAACATTTTTAGCCTTCTACAGCTGATTAATCCCTAGAATTCAACACAAACCATAGGAAGTTTGAGTAGAATACAATCTGAATGTTACTCTCAACTAACAGGATTTCAAGCCTAAGACGATGCCATTTTTACACAAGTATGAATCAATATGAAAAGCCACTGAGAAGCAACGCCTTCCACAAACCAGATGATACTCAAAGCAGCTGTGATGTGAATGAATAAATCCCCTGATTTTACTTCAGTAAGCTTTCCAATTCTTTCCCACCGAATTTATTGTTACAACTAATGCATTTATGAATAAATAAGATTACACTTAATCAAGATATTCTAAACCAGAAATTTCATCAGAAAGATATTTGTGTGTTGGTGCTCTGACAGCAATTTAAAAATAGGATAAATTTGTTTAAGTGATTAAAGCAATATTAATGAACGAGTCCATACAGTTCAGTCTGCAGGCAAGCTTCAGCTCAGAAACACAACTGCTTTAGCAACACAGTAGTGGCAGCATCTGCTCTAAATAGCACAGACCATCAGCACTTAAGATAGAGTTTTAGTCATGCAATTCATCACCAAGGCCTTGTAGAAATGCTCCGTAATGATGACTTTTTCTGTCATATTATAATAAAGTAATAAGATTATACCCATTTATCTTAGAGATAATCCATTGCACCCATAAGCCAAGGCTGAGCTTTCAGTATTTTCCCTACTCATTGGCTTAATTTTAATGTAGAACTATTTTATGCAAAGTACCTTATGTATCTCAGGTGAAACAAATCCCATTTTGCAGTCAGCTGTTCTACTACACTTTCAGTTAAAAAGCTAATTGATCTAAATGGTAATAGTATGACTAATCCATGCTTTTTTACATAAAAGCCATGAAATTCAGGATGCAAAGCTCTGATGTTCCTTGTTCTGACACATAAATAATCTCTAGGTCATCCTTCCCCTCCACTGTCCCCTAGAATGTTGTTGGTTAAAACACGTACCTATGCATATGTACTCATATGCACACCCAAACATATGCTTTTATATGTATGTATATACACATACACATTTTAATAAATACATTCCCCCTATCCTTCTGAATTATGAATAATCAGTTGTTCTCCCCTGCTTTCTAAGTATGCATCTATACACTTAAGCACTTTTGTGCCAGTGTAAATCCTATTTTGTTACTGAAGGTACACCCAGAAATAAACATAGATGTTATATCTGGGGACTTCCACAGCTTCCCTCTCCTGATGATACTTTTCATATTCTGCTACTTCCATGAAAAAGTGGTAGCTCGTGAGATTTAGGAAGAGAAATAAATAAAAATGTAACTATATAAATAGCATAAAAGTAAAATTATTTTTTCTATTACCTTAGGAGAACTATTGGAAAATATAATTTCCTACCTGCCCCAAAGCCTGAAATGTTGTCTTTCAAAGTGTGCATATACATTTTAAGCAAAGGCTCATAACACGTAAAAGAAAAACTGCATGATGTTTGGATCTGCTCCATTTAGCACCAAATCATATCAGTGAGATTTCATTGGACTTAGGGGAACAATTTTTGCAGGAACAAGTAGCATACACAGAGATATGAAAATTATAC